TTTTTAATACGTTTTCAGAGGGTGGGGCATACTCCCCATGAACTATTTTTCTTCCCTTAAATTTGCCTTTTAAGGGGTGAGAGAATCCTCATGAATTTTTTTTTCCTCATGAAATTTTTTTCTAATTCTATCCTTAATTTCCAAGGAGTGAAGATTCTCTCATGAACCTGTTTTTAATTTTACCGAAAGTTTCACTTACCCTGAGCGCATTCCCTTTCGGTTCCTGGTGTCTGCTCGAAAAAGAGAAAGAAAGAGAAACCACCACCTTATCCAAAGAAAAACCACCACCTTGTCCCAAGTTCGGGCGCCAGAATGTTGCAGACCGAGGGCCCCAAAGAATAGAATAATTTTATAATTATTAATAAAGAAACAAACAGCCAGGAATGAGATAGAGCAGAGAGCGTAAAACAGGGGGTCAGCAGTTCTCGACTGAAGACCAACAACATGTTTAATAAGGGTACAAATAAAATGGAGAACAAAAGTATACACTAGATCGACAACATGAAATCGTGTTGATGTCATTGACAAGAACAGTTTTCATGTGGATAGAAAAAAGTTGAGAAGAAAACGGGAAACTATAGAAATATTGCCAGTATATTTTTTAATAGTTATCAAACACTTGCATTTTTCATTTTCAGGAAGACAACTTTGAGGTATGGGAACGACCTCTCTCAAGCTTATCCTGGGATGTGGCTGTAAGAAATGTGCAAGAGATAGGGGGTCCTCATTTTCATATGATTTCACTTTTTACTCTGGGTAAAGCAGTGGCCTGTAATCCTGCCTGCTTCATCACACATATTGCCAGTATATTAAAAAAAATATTTTTAAAAGCTTGGATATATTGTTGTTGTTATGTACTGTTGTGTAAGAATCATCGCATAGCTGACCTTCAGCAGGTTTTCAGAGGCAGTAAATCGAATGGAAAGAGACTGCCCATCTTTCTCCTGTGGAGCAACTGATGGATTTGACTACATGCCTTTGGGTTGACAGCATGTCTCCTCACCATTAGGCCACCAGAGCTCCTTGGATATGTAGAAGATCCATATACACAGTGTATTGGTTGAAGGAAAATGTGAAAAATAACATAAAGGCTTCAATAACAAGGGAGAGATTGCATACGAAGAATGGAAAACAAGTATCAAAACTGTAAGTGAAATTTTCATCATCTACACAGAGCTTGGAACCAGTTCTTCAAGGGTTGTTGTTGTTGTTGTTGTTGTTGTTGGTATGTGCTGTGGAGTCACTTGCGACTAATAGTGACCCTATGTACAAGAGCCCTAAACCCTTCTCTATCCTGTGCCAACTTTATTGTCTTTGACACACCTACTCCTATTACTGCAATCACGAAATTGGTCTATCCCATCGAGGGTCTTCCTCTCCTGCACTGTCCCTCCAACCCTCCCAAACATGATGTCCCTCTCCAAGGACAAGTCCCTCCTTGCAACATGCCCAAAGTATGTCACACGAAGCTTTGGAATCCTTGTCTCCAAGGAGCATCCCAGTTTCACCCTCTCCAGGACAAACCGGTTTGTTCTAGCAGTCCATGATATATGGACTCTTCTCCAGCACCACAGTTCAAAGGCATCAATTCCCTTCCTATCATCCCTAGTCACCATCCAGCTTTCTGACACATAGCATGCAATCGCGAAGACTATGGCCTGGATCAGGCGCACTTTAATCTCCAGTGTGATGCCATTGCTCTTCAGTACTCTGGAGAAGTCGCTGACGGCTGACATTCCCAATGCAATTCATCTCTTGATTTCCTGGCTGCTGGTACCAAGAGTGTTAACTGTGGAGCCAAGCAAACTAAAACTGTTAGCAATCTCAAACTCTTCACCATCCATAACGATGCCGCCAATTGGCCCAGTGGTGAAAGTCTTTGTTTTCTTGATGTTGAGCTTCAATCCATACTGACGACGATAGTCCTTGACCTTCTGCAGCAAGCGCTTCAGGTCCTCAGTTTCAGCAAGCAGGGTTGTGTCATCTGCATTGACTTGAATTTCCCTAAAAAGGGAAAAATATTGGTTGATGCTCTGTTGGAGACTTAATCTCCCTTTTAGAAAGAAAGAGCAGCAGGTGTGTTACACAGCAGACAAATCTCTTCATCAGCAGGTTCAGAAACAACAGTGCTCCACTCAAAGAAGTGAGTGTACTTACTACTTTGCTTGTGTGTAACTCTTCACACAGCTGGCAATACTGCACATTCCCACATCAGACTCCTGAAGAGCCTCACTACACCTCTTCCATTCTAGGGCTTTGACTTGTAATTTTCCCCATTCCAGTTATAGTTCCACTTCACAAAAAATATTAAAATTTTGTTCTGTTTCTACATTACTACATCATCAATGTTATGGTTGTTAGGTGCCATTCTGACACACTTAAGCCCATTTTTCCAGAAACTCTATCAGTCTATCTCATTGAAGATCTTCCACTCTTTCGCTAAGCTCCGCATTGCCAAGCATGATGTCCCTTTCCAAATAATAGCCTCTCCTAGCAATATGCCCTAAGTATGTGAGATGAAGCTTCACCATCCTTGCCTCCAAGGAGCACTCTGGCTGCCCTTTCTCCAAGGTATATCTGTTTGTTCTTGTGGCAGTCTGTGGGCTATTCAGTACAACTCAAAGACATCAGTTCTTTTGTCATTCTTAATCACTGTCCCGCTCTTACATGAATAGCAAGCGATTGAAAAGACCATACCCTGGGTGAGCTCTGGTGGCCTAGTGGCAAGAAGATTCACTGCAACCCCAGATGTGAGTGGTTTGAATCCACCAGATGCTCTGCTGTAGAAGGAGGGACAATCTTCTCCTTACTGGTCAGATCCGATTTGATGGTGTGTGTGTGCGCGCGCGCGCGCACACACACACACACACACACACACACAATTTTTTTAAAAAAGACCATACCTTGAATCAGGCATACCTTAGTCTTCAAACTGACATCATTGTTCCTTGGTAATTTAAAGAAGTCCCTGACAGTGAACTTGCCCAGTGCAATACACCTCCTGATTTCTTAACTACTAGTACCAAGGGTGTTGATTTTGGATCCAAGTAAGATGAAATGTTTGAAAATGTCAATCTTTTCTCCATTTATCATGATGTTGCTTATTGGTCCAGTGGTGAGAAATTTTATCTTTTTAATGTTGAGATGCAATCTGTACAGAAGAATTTTCTCTTCTGCAGCAGGTATTTTAAGTCCTCACTTTCAAAAGTAATGTCACCTGCATAATGCAGGTTTTTGATGAGTCTTCCTTTGATCCTCATACCACATTCTTTTTTTAAATTAATTTTAATGAAAGTTTACAGAGACTTAGGATTTCCAGTCATTCATTGTTGCACTTTTCTCCCTACCCAACCCTCTGCCCAATTCATTCTTCTCTTTTAAAAGTAAAAGAAACATTCTTTCATTGTTATATAATCCCTCCCCCTAGGTCCACTCAACTGTGCAGCCTTCATTTTGGACTCCTGTCATGACAATAATACATAATCATATATCCCTTTTAAACAGTTCTCTCATTCATCTGTTTCAATGCAGTATTCATTATTTATTCCCTCTTTCTCAGTCTTCCCTCAACCCCGATGTCAGTCTCATTTTACAACTATGGCACTATGCAATATTTGTCCTTTTGTGACTGAGATATTTCACTCAGCATAATGTCCTTCAGGGTCACCCATTTTGTATAACATTTCATGAGTTCCCTGTTTTTCAATGCAGCATGCTATTCCATTGTGTGAATATACCATAGCTTCTCTGTCCATTCTTTTGTTAATGGCATACCACATTCTTTACTGACCATATGTGACCCAATTTGAATGGGTTTGCATCTCTATTTAGAGGTTTTATATTTTACTTTAATAAAAATGTGCTGTATTTTTCAGTAAGTTGAAGGGGAAAGTTGGGGTATAGTGTAGGAGTAATTTAGACGTGAATTTTTGGTAGTAATTAGCCAGACTATCTAGACAAATGTCTACTATCACAGTATTGTTACTACTAATAATAAGCATTTGTGAAACACTTATGATGTTCTAGACATTTGTGTGAGAACTTTATAAACATAATTTCTTATATTAATAATTTTTGGATCTTCACCAAGGAGTTAACATTTTATACACTTAGTTCAGGTAAGGAAATTGAAGATTAAGTATATTAAGTGTATGAAGTGTCAGAGCTAGGACTTAAATATGAATTTTCTTGATATAAAAGACTATGTTCTTCATCACCAGTTAAAAATCATTCCTAAAAATATTTTTTGCAAATCACATACACATACTTAAGATGCAAGACTCTCCTTTACATTTATTATTAGATGAGTCAAATTTCAAATTGGATAAAAAGATTTATTCTTCATCTTTTAATTATTGACACAAATTATTTTATACTAAGATTTGTGTTGTTGAATGACTACTAAAAGACTGATTTCCGCTTAACTCGCGATAGTCTCACTCTTTAATAAAACCTTTATTTGAGGCGGAGGAAGTGCAATACCACATTTGTAACAGAAAGCTATTTCAATGGTCTTGTGCTGAAGTTGGTAGCATAAAAATGTAATTTAATTAAAACCTCACATCTGCTGAGACTCTCCCCTAAGACTATTTCTATTCTTTCTTAAATATTCCTTTCACAGTCTCATGGTAGTTGTGCAAATCTCCTTCCTAGTAATCTCCACACAGTACAGGAATCGACGCTTTACTTCTGCCACGTTTCTAGACTGTAATCCCCAAATGTGTAGACATTAGACTTTACTAAACTTTATATTCCCAATACCTTCCACAGTGCTGGCCTGCCTATAATATTTTTTTTTTTTTTAAAAAAAAGTTACTCTCAAAAGAAACGATACAGCGGCATCATGATAATAAAATCTAATACTATTAAAGTTTGGGGTTTTTTATTCATAGTGGCTAAACCAAAAATTGCAGAGTTAAACTCTCAGAGATAAAAATTCTGCCACCAGGAAAACCTGACCATGAGCGGATTTTGACAGCTGCTCCGGGAAAGCGCTGTCGATGCCGGGTTTTCAGTTCGGCGCCTGGTGGCGCTATCGACTAAGACGTAAGAGGAGCCCTGGACTCAGACTCCATCTTAGACAAAAACAGATCAGAAAGGTGCAGAGAATGGAAATAGCTTAGGAAGCGTCGGCGTCCATGGCAAGGCCAAATTTTATTATTTTCTTCAGACAAGCTAGGACTGAATATAAGGAGCTGATGCTCTTATAGTCCCTCTTATAGTACTTCCAAAGGCTTTTTTTTTATTTAAGACAACGTACTCAGAGACTATACAAGACATTGTGCTCGAGAAAATCTGGCAGAAAAGGCAAGTGACGAGTTTTCGTTTTCTTCCTGGGCGTAGTAGTGCAGGCCGCCTGGGAAGTAGAAAGCTACAGTTTATGGCCAGACTTGAGGAGACTCAGTGCTGGCCGGGGAGTGGGGAGCGCAGGGCGGCGGGGAGGACACAACGGGACTGGGTGTTGTCCAGGAGATCAAAGACACAGAAGAACTGAACCTAGAGGAGCTCTACATTTCCAAGAGTTTCCAAGAAAATCTGAGTCTGGGATTGTAACTGTTCTTCAGTTCAAAGAGTCTTCCTAATGTGTGCTAGAAGGAAACGTATATGAGGTTTGGGCTGATTTTGCATAGTGGAACTACCATGCCGTTTCAGTTTTCCTTTTCACAATAGTGGGCGATTTAATACTGGGACAAGCAATTTGCCCATTTGTGAAAAGAATCGCTGAAAGAAGAATAACCAATATTTATTCTAACTCTGAGATAAAAAAGGAAAAATAAAGTGATGGTAAGTAGGCAACCTTAATATAGGTCCAAATTGTGATGACCAATGAACAGTGTCTGAGGGCCATAATGCCCCTCAACAATCCCTGGTTGTTGAGGTCTCAGCTGACGATTTCATCTAAGAAAATAATTAAGAAACATTGTATTCTTCAGGCTCATTGAATTATCAAACTTCTGGAGAGCATTCACTAAACATTTAAAAGACTGTTGGTATTTGTGTACCATAAACAGCCCCTGTAAGAAAATAGTCAAGCAATTTAAGCGCTAATGACTAGTCACGGCGGAAATACTCTCAGAAATGCTTTCTTTTTCTTCACATGAAGGATATTGGAAGACAGTTCCTCTGGATGGCATTTCTGTAGAATTGGTCATGTTGATGCTCGCCGATTCCATCTTGCATCACATCTTTAAAGATCATAATTTCAGTGCTCTGAGATAAAAAGAAAATGCATTCATCTCTTTCTCCAACATTTTCTCTTTCCTAAATGTTAAAAATATTCTGTCAAATCAATGCAGAACAGAGAGGTTAGGTGCAATATTACTTTATTGCAAATGAAATTAGGTTCTTAGCTCAAAACAAAATGATAGGTAGAGACAGCATTTGGGAAAGTGTCATCTATCTGAGTAATATTGTAGTTGTTTTATGTCATTCTACTTTCAGTATTGTTCTTCTCAGAAGCATATCTAATTATTAATTTACAGTCAACGGGTATTGATAAAACTTAACTATTTCTTTTTTTATCTGGCAAATTTCTTTTTAGAAGCCTATAGCCTATTCTGACTAGTATTCCTATAGGACAGAATAGAACAACTCCATTGGGTTTCCAAGACCGTAAATCTTTATGGAAGCAGACTGTCTTATCTTTGTTCTTGGGAGTGGCTGCTGGATTTGAACTACCAACCTTTCAGTTTATACAACATATATATATTGGGTAATCTTTACATTTTCTATTATATAATTGTGAAATAAGACATTCTTGCATTTCAAAATTTCATTTAGTGACTCTACTGCAAAGAATCTCTCTACAGTGTTAAAAGGCAAGGATGCCACTTTAAGGAAAAAGGCACACCTGGCCCAAACCACAGTATTTTATTGCCATTGAGTCTACACTAAATTATAGTCAACCTTCCACTGGATCTTCAGAGACTGTAAATGACATGAGAGTAGATTGTTCATCTTTTTTCCACAGAGCTATTGGTAGATTTTCACTGACTGCCTTTAAGTTAGTGACTCTACATACTATGCCACCAAAGCATGTTATAGTTACTTAATAGGCATATGTAAGTTGGACAGTGAATAAAGAACGCTGAAGAAGACTTGATATCTTTTAACTCAGTGTTGTTGAAGAATATTGAAAATCTGTGAACAGACAAAAGAACACAAAATCTGTCCTGGAAGAAGTGCAATCAGAATGCTGAAGGGTGGTGAGACTTCTTACATACTTTGAACATTTTATTAGGAGGGGCCAGTCCCTGGAGAAAGACAGCATGCTTACTTTAAATAGAGGGTCACTGAAAAAGAAAAGACCCTCAATAGATTAAATGACTCGATAGCTGCAACAATGAGCCCAAGAACAGCAGTGGTTTTGAGAATGGTCCCAGACTCAGCAGTGTTTCTTGTGCTGTGCATAGGAACACTAGGAGTCGGAACCAGCTCTCGAATACCCAGCAAGAATAGCAGCAGTACAAATTCAAAAGAGGACCTTTTAATAGGTCCCAAATCAAGTTCAAGCTCACAGCCATCCAGTCAGTGTCAATCTGGAGATTCTTGACTGGGTTTCTGCAGCTGTGAATTTTTACAGGGGGAGTATACCCATCTTTTGCAGAGTGGGGGATGGATTCAGATTGTCATCCTTTTGGAACTGCACTACCAGAACTCCCTTTAAAAATGAGCAAGTATTATCCATGGAACGCTGGTGGCCTAGTGGGTAAGGAGTTGCCCTGCCAACTGCTAAGAGAATGAACAACCTGGAGAGGGTGAAACCAGGCTGTTCTTTGGAGGCAAGGATTCTGAAGTTCATCTGACATTTTTTGGACATGTTGCAAGGGGGGACCAGTCCTTGGAGAGGGATGTCATGCTTGGGAGAGTGGAGGGACAGCTCAGGAGAGGAAGACCCTCAATGGGATGGATTGATTCAGTGACTGGAGTAATGGGGATAGGTGTGTCAGAGACAATAAGATTGGCACAGGATAGAGCAGGACTCAGGGCTGTAGTACTTAAGGTCACTATGAGTCGCAAGTGACTCGACAACACTTAATAACAACAACATGCTGAACCAATCATTTGAGAAGCTGGACTTTATGAAGAAGATTTTGGAATCAGGATCAGAGGAAGACTCATGAATAGCCTGTTTTATGCATATTACACAAACTTGCTTTCAGAGAGTGAGTAGTACTTGAAGTACTTGCTACAGAAGATCAAGGTCTATATTCTTCAATATGCATTACGTCTCAACATGAAGAAAACAAAAGCTTTCACCACCATGACAACAGGCAGCATCATGATACATGGAGAAGATATTAAAATTGCCAGTGATTTTCTCTTGCTTGGATCCACAATCAACACTAGTAGATTGGTACTAGTAGTCAAGAAATCAAAAGTTGTTTTGGGAAAATCTGCTATCTGGGACCTTTTCAGAGTACTTAGAGAGCAATGATATCAGTTTATAGACTAAAGTGCACCTAATCCAAGCCACGGTCTTCTCAATTGCCTGTTATGCATCTGAAAGCTGTACAATAACTGAGGATGACATAAGAAAAATTGATGCCTTTGAACTGCCCAGAAAACAAACAGGTCTGTCTTGGAGAAAGTGAAACTCAGAGTGTTTCTTGGAAGCAAGGATGGTGAAACTTCATCTCACATACTTAGGGCATGTTATTAGGAGAGTCTAATCCTTGGAGAAGGACATTATGCTTGGAAAGGTGGAGGGTCAGCGTAATAAAGGAAGACTCTGAACAAGATAGATTGATACAGAGGCTGAAATGTATTGGAGATAGTGAGGATCGCACAGGATAGGGCAGGTTTCAGATCCATTGTTCATAGGGTCACTCACTATGAGTCTCAATCAACTCTGTGACACGTAACAACAATATATATAACAAAGTCGAATTGTGCTCCAGAAAGTTTACAGTGACTGAGTTTTGAGAATTGGATTGCTAGGTCTTTCTTTTGAGGCAACTTTGAGTAGACTTGAACTTCTAACATCTCAGCAATTGAGTGTGGTAATATTTACACTGCTCAAGGTCTCATAATTCCTTTTTTTTTAAGTTGCTGTGAAGTCCATTCCAGCTAATGAAGGCCCAATATGTTACAGAGTAGAACTACTGCATAGGGTTTTCTTGGCTGTATCTTGTTTTTAATTTTTTATTCTGATTTGGAGTATTTCACAAAGAAAACTGGTTTTCTCTTCAACATTTCATACACATTTTTGTTTTGGGACTATGATTGCATTCTCCACAATGTAATCATATTCCTTTTATTTCTTCTCTGTATTTCCCTGTTCCCATTTAGCATTTTTTTCCTGTCCCTTTCTGCCTTTTGACCTTTCAAAGTCAAAGTTAAGTTGGAACTGAATAATAAATGAGCCTATACTGCCTCATTAAAATAACAAAAACCCTACTCCCCAATGAGATTATAACTAGATTCTGACTCATAGTGACCTTTTTTCTCCTTTGGAGTGTTACAGTTAGCAGCCCCTTATATTACACACTGTGCTACCAGGGATCCTTAAGGGATTGTTGTTATGTGCAGCCAAGTTGCCTGCGACTCATAGCGACAACAGCTCTGAACCCTGCTTTATCCTGAGGCAACACCCCCCCCATTACCCCAGTCACTGAATCAATCTATCTCATTGAGGGGTCTTCCTTTCTTCTGCTGTCCCTCTTCCCTTCCAAGAACTAGTCCCTCCACCCTCTCCAAAAACTAGTCCCTCCATGCAGCATGCCCAAAGTATGTCAGACAAAGCTTCAGAATCCTTGCTTCCAAGGAGCAACCTGGTTTCACCCTCTCTAGGATGAATCTGTTTGTTCTCTTAGCAGTTCTTGGTATATTTAATACCCTTCTCCTTGGTGATTTACTGGCTAGCTTTACTGACACAGCCCCAGGTCGATTTCCCATCAGGGAAGGTGCTTGTGCACCCTCCTCCGCAGCTGCTTTAGGGATTAGAGTTTACAATATATATTTTGCCGAATAAAATACAATACATAACAGAGGTAGTCAAAGGAGAGAAAAAGACAACTCTTTTTTTCTAGAGATGAGTGTTATCC